ATATATATATTTGTTAAAGACGTATTTAATTTCGAACCAATATATTTCATCGGTGCTTTCTTAAAACTACGAGAGAAACGAGTAAAGACAGTCCACTGATCGTCGAAATGATAGATCACGGTAATGTCCGTAATCCGTAGACTGGGGGGGACGAATAAAATTATAACGCTATCAAACGTATTACTCGAGAAATGCAAGCCGCTGCTGCGCGAGTCGACGTGATGTATGATACAAATTGGATGGGAGTCGAAATTTCGTCCAGAAGTTTGCGAACAGAAACGTAGATCTGTTCATTTGTACAAAGTAGAATATCATTTTTTTGTTTTTATCTATCAGCAAGAATACTATCGTCAGCAATGAAAGATATACCCTAAGGAAAGATCTTTGATCATGATAGATAGAAGAAGTGTGCTACTGTAATACTACATTCGTAAAGTGCAATACGTGCGCAAAAAACGGAAACTATAGATCTATGAATATGCAAGATAATATCCGAGTAAAAAGCAAAGATTCTTAATACTTTTTTCGATCGTTCATTAATTCACTTACTGATAACGCACCTAACTTAATGTAATTGGCAGCATTAATTTACTACTACTGTTATCTGCTACTTTTGCATCGGGTTTTATTACTGTAAACCAGGTAGTCGTGTGATAGTATCCTTGCTAATGTACATGTCAATCTATCGCTAGAGGAAAGGGAAATTTGTACATCGTTTGTATAATGGTATGACTCAGTCTCGCCTGCGCCACGTGAATTTCGCCCTTTGACTAGACGTCTCCACAGCGACCGGTACTGGGTGTGAATATGGACACGCTGGTTTGGTGCAGAATGGATGATACTTGCACTGTTGGGCGGGATGAGAGAACACGCATCCTAGTTTTGTGCAAGACAAACCAAATTTACATTTGGGATGTTTGTAAGCGCACTTGTCTCCGAACTTACACGCAGGGAACGCACTATAATGTAGGAAAAGATAAACGATTAAAAAGATTAAAAAAGATTGACTGGCGTGAACGATAGCGAGAAATGGGAGAAATTAAGTGTAATAATAACCTGCACATAACAAGGGGATGAAGATACGCGCACTTATTCCCTAATGTACAATTTGGCCAGTATCTACATTTTTCTTTTGACTTATCTATCACCGTTACCGTGTTCTCTGTTAATGGTTTTTTATCTAGACCTGGATGCAAAAAACAACTGTTGTAAAATTTATACTGCAACATTTTTATGTATAAATTAGTAAAATTATATTATTTACGTTTAGTTAATAATGGGGTCGTTAATAACGTGCTGGACTTTAAGTCCGTGGGGCTTGGTGAATGGGATCTATTATAAACAATCGGGCTTAGTCTTCTCCTTTTTTTCGGTATCTCATCGGTTTTTTCGACGTTTTCCGTATTACAGTTTTCATTGTTCTCTTCCGTTCTGTCTTTCACGCTTATATCGCCTTCGGTTTCCATTTCCGTTACTTGAAAAACAGAAGCTTCTGACTCATTCTGAGCGTATACGTCATTTTGGATTGTTGATAGTGCAAGCTCATCCTCCTCATTCACCTGTAAGTCAATGACAGTACTAGAGAAAAAGAGTCGGAGAAAATTTATGGCTTAAATTGTTTGTTACTCCAAATACCTCCATTTCCAGTTGTTCATCATCGTCAGATGTAGTCTTATCTTTCATTAAGTTGTTGTTATATCCGTTGAGTGTAACTAAAAATTTTTGGTTGTCGTCGCTCCTTTGAAATAAAGACATTACAACACCCATGTGTTCCTCGGTAACTGGTTGCGGTACATCTACAGACCGTACAATACTAAATATATTAGAGAAACAATTTTAAGTATTATACATATATA